CGCGTACGTGAAAACCTTCCTGGCAGCGGATTGTTCCGGCAATGATTTCTTGGATGACCTGGCGCACTGGCCACAGAAGGAACTAATAGATAAACTGGTCTAAAGGAAAATTCAAAAACCCTTCCCATATCGAACAAGACTGTAGTCGAAAAAGCCAACCTAGAGAATGGGAGCAACTATTTGCAAATTGTGTATCTGATAAAGGGTTAATTTGCAGAAGACACACACAAAAAAACAACTCTTACAACTCAACAACCAATCAACAGCCCAATCAAAATGGGTCAAGGGCTTGGTTGGGCCCATTGTCCAGAGAAGACATCAAAGACACCAGGGAAATGTAAACACAACCACAGGACTCGCCCTTTCACACCCACAGGCCAGATTTGCTGAAAACAAAGCCACGCCTGGAGCAGTGTGTGGCCCTGAGCACGCAACCGACCAACCGACCTGGGCCTCTCCTCCAAGGAAGGTTAGACTGGAGGAGGTGGCAGTCCCTCAGGAAGCGAAACACAGGAATACAGGAGACTCACAGATCCCATACACGTCCACACCCACAAGAACTGAAACCGGGAACTAAAACTGACCCTGTACACCTGTCAATGTCCCATGACTCACAGGCACCACAGGCAGAAATGAGGGAGGAACGGAGCTACACAATGTGGTCTAGCCAGGCTGGGCAGACTGTCTCAGCAAGGAGTGGACTTCTGAGACACGCCACCCAGGCTAAACCTGGAAAACACCATTCAGAGTCCAGTGAAACCACCCAGACACACAAAGGCCGGCAGTCTGCGCTCGCATACAGAAACACCTGGAATGAGTACGCCTCCAAGTGAGCTGCCTCGAAGCACCTGCAGGAGGACGCCCCGTGGTGTTCCCAAGGCGGTCATCACCACGGACACAGACAGCCCAGTCTCTGCCCCATGGGTGCCCACCAGGCACAGGCTTATGGGGAGAAACTTAGCAGCTGGCTGCAGGGTGGGAGAGGGTGACGGGGGGAGTGACCGCTGAGCGGGGAGGGGTAGTGTCCTATGGGGTGCTGCAAGCGGTAGACGCAGGTCATGGTGTGTCAGACAACATTGCCCCTGTAACTGAGGCCAGGGGCATGGGCACTTACAAAGGCTAATATGGTCAGTTTTATATGAAGTACACTTTGTCGCCATTAAAAAAACTGTTGGTAGCATCTCCTGGGACCATGGCATGACACGCAGCGGAGTCACCAGCCAAGGGCCAGGCTGAGCATCTTCCCCCTGCCTCTGTTTCTCTAACTCGAGTGAGTGTTCTGACCCTTCTGCCAGCACGTGGTGCTCAGTAACTGGGGAGCCAGGAGGCTCTGCTGCTCACTTGCTGCCCGCTGCCCTCAGCAGAGCTAAGGCCACACTATGATGTCACCTTCCAGCAATGACTGGGGTTCAAGCATGGGCTAGGGGCCAGGGGCCATGACTATGCCTGCCAGCCCCACTGGACTCTGGCTCTGCCCATGTGCTGCCCCAGGGGAGGGGCCAGGGACCACTTGATGACAGGTGGGGTCCTGGGTCCTGGGGGGCCTACAAGGGGGGCAAAGAGAACCTGGCCTGGGTGGAGGTGAGGAATGGGAAGCCTAGTTAACATCAAGGGGAGGTGGAGGGAGGGAAGGTCTACGCAGTGGAGCTGGGTGCTTCTGGTACGTTTGAAATATTCTGTGATCCAATTCTTTTAGTGACCGGACTGGACATGCGTTCTCCCCAGCTCAATCCTGACTGCCCCTCAGATGGATAGCTCTGGTTTCTTGGGCCTGGACAGTGGCCAGCTCACATACTGGATGGCCCCCTGCCAGGCCGGGGGCAGGCTGCAGGCAGGGCCCCCCACTTTCACTGTCTCCTGCAAGATGGCCAGTGCCTGCTCCTTCTCCTCCATCCCATGCTGGGCCTTGGGGTCTGGGGGCTCCCAGGGCTGGCCAGCAGGGTCCTAGCTGCAAGGCAGATGCTACTTGTAATGGGCGGTGAGGAGTGGGCGATGGGGAGTGGGATAGGAGGGAGGGGCTGTGAGGCAGGGCTGGCCCATCGCAAGCACAGCCAGTCTCTGGAGGCCGCTGACTCCAATGGGTCTTCCTCACACACAGCTCTGGGCCCCTTGATGATCCTGCATGACAGACAGACACATCAGCTCAGAGCCTCCACGTAGAGAGGTCATAGGTCCCAACTTCCTGCACCTGGGCAGAGTCACCTTAACCAGGGCCCGTGTGGCCCCCACCACTCATAGCATTCCAGCCCAGTGGGGCCAGAGCCTAGTCTTTGGAAGCCAGAGCCCCACCCACCTCACGGGATGAGGCTCTGCTAGCCCCTCCCACCGGATACCTGTGACACACAGAGGGCTGGTCATCTCTGCCCACGGACTGTTGGCACTGGGACCGTAGGGTCCTGAATCCTGCAGTGACTGTGAAAGGCGAGGGTCACCCACCAGCCAGGGATCGCTGCTAGCCTGCCCGCCCCGCCCCCCCCCCTCGTGGTCACGCCCAGTTGGTACATACAGCCTCAGAGGGTGGGCTCCTGCCCAGTGTGCCCCGTTCCACCCTGGCCTTCAGCGCACACAGGACTGGCTCCACTATGCCAGGAGTGTTGGCCACCACATTGCGGATGTCGGCCTCGGAGACACAGAGTCCCAGCTTGGGGAAGACCTTCCTGTGAAGGAGCCCAGGACGCCCAGGTGAAGGCCACGTCCTCCAGTCTTAGGAAGTGGCCACAACCAGGACTCCTTGTGGGCTCATCTGGCCCTGACCCTGATTCCTGGAGCAGAACTATCCAGGTACCCCTCTTCCTGCTGGCTCCACCTCCAAGATGCCCCTCCTTTACCTCCATCCCTGCCCCCAGCAGCCCACCAGTGGTGCCCTGCACATCCAGACTACCAAGGGTGGAAGCCAGGTCCTGGCATGGCCTCACAGGCCTGCAGGCTCCCATGGGGCACCCAGGGTAGTCACATAGGCTGGGCACATGAGCAGAGCGTGCAGCTGGTACCCACAGCCCCTGGTTGAGGGTGAGGCTCTGCGGAGGGCAGAGAGGAGGGGCGGGGCGGGGCGGGCCTGTTCAGCGTGTTCCAGTTGGTGAGCTTCTGGTCTGTGTTGCAGGCTGGGATGTAGTTGTGCAGGTCCACAAGCTGAGGGCGGAAGTGCTTCACAATCTCGGCCAGCATCACTAGGGCCAAAGGTGGGAGGGCGCGAGGGGAAGAGGTGCAGGTGAGGGGGCCTGTAACCTGAGCATTGGCTCCTTGTTCTACACCTGTGTGGCTTCCCAGGGCCTCCTGAGGCAATGAGGGCTGGAAGAGGAATTGGAGGACAAGCTTGCGGACAGGTGTGCTGGTCCCTTGTGCCTGGAGAATGGGAAGACCAGGGTGGACCGGGGTGGGGCCTGTGGGGGCCTGGGGTCCCAGGAGCTGCCCTCTCCCACATGCTTCCGACAGCCGCCTGGACTGGAGGTGGACGGCTGGCTAATCACTCTGAGCTCTCACTGAGGAAAGACTTTTGCCGGCCTTCACCGCGAGAGGGGCCGGGACGATGGACAAGGAAGGTACCAGAAACAGACAGAAAGTAGCCCGGGTCTGGACTTGGGGAAAGACCACCTCCCTGACGTGCAGCCACCCTCCCCCCCTGTGCCCTCAGCCTCCTGCACACGGCCAGGACCCCCTTGGCCTCCCCACGGGTCCACACCGCCTCACACTGGGGGCCAGCTTCAGACAGCCCAGGAGTGTCCCTCACCCTTCTCACAGCCAAGTCTCCTCCTTATGGGAACACCTTAGCCCCTGCCCCCTCCATGCAACTCCCGCCTCCTCCCCACCCCCACGCCTCCGGCCCTGGTCACCTCCTCCCACCCAATGGAGCTGGCCTACAGCCCGCCTGGGCGGTCAACCCCATGCCTCTGCTGCCCGTGACCAGTGACCAGTCCACACGGTCCCCCGCTCCTTGCCAGACGCTCCCTCACCGCCGTCGCTGAAGTCCCAGGCCAGGTGTCGCTTGAGGCGGCTGAGCGGGAGACTGTCCAGCCAGGCAGAGGCCGTGGAGGATGCAAAGCGACATCTCTGGGATGGCTGAAGGGCTCGAGCCAGCAGCAGAGAGCATGGGGGCTGAGTTGCGGACTGGGGTGGTGGGGGGAGATGGGCCGGGAGGGGCGGTGCCTGGGCTCCTTATTGGGTGCGCTGCAGGGAGACGGGTGCCTGTGCTGGTCTTTGCCCAGAGACTGGCTAGGAAGGGGTGGGGCATCCGTGTTCGGGGAAGTCTATATGCTATGGTAAGACATCTGCAGTCAGAAGCGATGCCCTGGCAGGTTCCCTGGGGACACTCAAGTCCAAATACTGGCTTTTCTGTGCAGCCCAAAGGCAGAAAGTAGCTGACCCCTTGGGGCCCTCCCTTATACATCAAGGCTCTGACCTCCAGAGGTGGGGTTTCATCTAGTGGATTCTTCCATACATACCCTGATGCAGTTCTTTTGGGCTTCTTGGTAGTTCTGCCTGTGGTAGCTCCATAATTTCATGTCAACTTGGAAGATATGTGTATGTGGGGGTGGAATCTAGCCGTTTATCAGGCCAGGCCTGATTATCAGGTGCCTCCTTGTGGGTGTTGCCTTCTCAATAAGCAGGGTCCTGCGAACCTCCTCCTTTCTCTTGGCCTTGCTGACCATGATGGCTGTCAGAGCCCTGGAGATGAATCCAACACCATTGGATCCACAGGCCTTTACACGCACCAGCCTGTGATGTTCCTGCATTCTGCATCACCGCATGTAGTTCTGTGAGTCTGAAGAGGGACTTATGGACTAGTATCAGACCTACAGACTTGAGTTGGACTGGGCGGAGCTGTTCTCTTGATATACAATTACTTCTTGATCGAAAACTTACACATAGATGGGTGTCACTGGGTTTATTCCTCTAGTCAACCTACCCTCACATGGCCTCTGCATCTACATTGGGGTTGTTTAATTTGGTGTGGGGCAGGATTGCAATTAAACCCCAAGGGAAAGGAAGACAGTTTGGCACTATCTAGTTAAAGCATACATTTTATTTTAAGAAGCATTGGATCCTTAAATAGTATAAAAGCCTGGGAACTCTATAATGTGTGCCATGCACCCTTCCCCAATGCTCCAATCACAATCTCCCAACATTTAGAATATGGTCGATAATTTAATCATAAATATACAGCTTTGTCATTATGAAAGTATAAAATAAGGTCTCAGTCCTGCTGACCATCATGCACCTGAGAAGAACCTGCAGAGACAGTTGCTTCCCAACATGGCCCTTTGGATAAAAGTGGAGACTCCTAGGCTGAAAGAGAGAGAGCGAGAGAGAAAGCAGAGGCCCTGGTGCTTTCCTGCCCCAATCAGGGAGAAGGGGCTCAGGTACGTGGAGATGCAGAGCTCATGACCCAGCTCTTAAGAAGGAAGACCCTCAGGGCAGGCGCTGGAGCAGCATCCTAACTAGGAGACCACTGCTGATGGGGTACAGTGTGAACAGCTGGGGGCATGGGTGGGGGCCTCAGGGGCTTTCCAGCTTAAAGAAGAGGGTGTCTGAGCTGCCAGGAGGGTAAGAAGCCTGAGGGCAGGTGTGGAGAGGGCTGGAGGGGACCAGATCCCAAGTCTCTGAGGAAGGCTGTCCTAACATCCCACCACCGCAAACCACAGAAGATGGCTCATTCCCACCTAGACATGCTTGGCTCTGGGGAAGAGGGACTGGCCAGGAGGGGCTGGCCTGGCCTCTTGGGTGAATGTGTTCTGAGTTCAAGGACAAGATCTTAAGGCCCAACCAAGTCCCAGCTGAGAGCCTCTCTCGGTGTGGCCATGCTACTAGTGTCCCTAGCCACGAGCCATAGCCTCCAGCCAGGTGCCCACCCGCGCAGAGCTGCAGCCTGGCCAGGGCTGGGGCTGGGGCTGGGGCCTGCCAGAGACACGGCCCACAGTCTTTCCATGGGGATGGCAGGCAGCTTCCAGGCAGGTTTGCAGGGCCCCCACTGCACAGCACTTCAGAGGCTCCTGGCCCTGCTCACCTCCTCTGGACAAGGGGCTGGAGGGCAAATTTTATGCCAGCCTCCTGGGAGGGGGGGAAAAGAGACCCACTGTTACAACCATCTGCTAAGAAGGGCACAGCTTCCCGTCCTTAGACTCTCCCGCACTGATGTGAGCACAACACACACACACACACACACACACACACACACACACACACACACACACACACGGCAGACTCTCTACATGTGTCAGGGGAGATGCTGCCAGTGACCAGGAGACCCCAGATTTGTCCTCGGATGGGGTGAATGGCAGAAGTTACAATATACCCTTCACAGAGGGCCAGCTGACAACTCAAGAGGGGGAAGCCCCTGCCTTCCCAGAGGAGCAGCAGCTCACTAGCCCTGGGGTAGGGCTTCACCTGGCTGGGGGCTGGGGCTTTCCAGGACCAGGCTTGGTGGGTGGAGCAGCAGGCACAGCAGCAGGCCTGTCAGGCCGGGAGGGAGCAGAGCCTCCAGCACCAGGCTTGGCAGGTGGTGTGGGTGGTGCAACAGGTGGTCTGCTGACCTGCAAAGAGGCAGACACAGTAAGGACAGAGGCTGCCTCCCCTGCCCTTACCTGGACACCACACCTTCCCAGGAGTGAAAGCTCACCACTGAGAAGCCACACTGGGTAGAACCAGCCATTCCTGGGCCATCTGGCCCCAACCTGCTTCAACCTCACTCTCATTCGGCTCTCCACCAGACCCAAGGCCAGAATGTGGGCCTTGGGAAACGCAAAAGCCCGTGATGACTAACAAGCCCCTGGGCCAGAGAGCTGGCATCCAGGATGAGGGCAAGGCCCCATCTGCATGGTCCACAGTCCCCATGCCCCCCACTGACCCTTGTCTGATTTGCCACCCTTCAACCACACCCGTCTGAGCCCTCTGCCTGTCAAAGCCAGTCCTATGACCACTCCAACACTTCACGTGAGTCTAGAGCTCCCAAAGGAAAGTGCAGAGGAAGACCACTAGTAAGCAGGTGCCCTGGGGAGCCTGGTCAGGGTCTGTCTCTGAGTTTCCCCCAAGTCACCACTTAGTCACAAGGCCAGCAGGTGTGGTCACAGACAGCATCAGCCACACCACAGCACGCCGGTGCTCTGCCAGCCAAGAGGTATTGGTTCAGTCCAACCCAAGCTGGGGGGCCAGGGGACATGGGGGATCCCCGCCTTCCCCATGTGCCTCCCAGCCACGGCCTATCTGTCATAAGCTTCTGGGTTGCCGTGAAGCAGAGAATGGTTCAGCTTCCAGCCTGAGAGGGAGCAGGAAGAAAGGCCTGGAGATCTACCTCCAATTGGCAGCCAGCAAGAATCCTGTGCACTGCACAGCCAGACCTGCAGTTCACCATGGGACTGCATGGCGCTGGGCAGCGCTTCCCTCCCTGACTCACACTCAGCCTGGGTTGGCGACCGACTGGATGGGGACCAACATCGCTGTGCAGACAAGAGGGGGTTGAGGGCTGCCAGACTGGGGTAGACCAGGGAGGCGAGGGTTCAGCATGGGGTCCTGGACCAGAGGACACCTGAGGAGCTCCTGGCGGGGTCGGTTCTGTGGCCTGACCAGCGCTAACGCCTTGGTGATGGGAAATGCTGGTGCTGGGGTATGGAAAGGCCGGCTAAGTGCATTTCTGAGATGGCAGCAGTGTGGCCCAGTAGATGCTCCACAAACTTAGGGAAAGCAGATGAATGCTAAGGCCCTGCTTTGGGTGGTCTCCCAGAGCCCCCCAGTAAACGGCAATTCCACCCACTCCCCTCCCAGGCTGCTCCCCTGGGTCCCTATACCCACCCCAGTGACGCAGTGAGGACAGCCAGAGGAGGCTGTCAGAACCACCAGCTGGGCCCAGGCGCAGGCAGCTGGAAGCCGGGCCAGGCCCTGCAGGAGAAAGCCCAGGCTCTTCCTACAGCCCCAGTGTAGGAAGGAGCCAGGCTGGGGGCCCAGAGGGGCCAGCCCACTATCCACACCCCGCCCAGAGAGCCGCCCACCCATTGGAGGCATCTCCTGCAGGCCAGGCTGGGCCACAGCATTGTCTGGGACACGGGGCCTAAGGACTGGGAAGTGGGGCTGGCCAGTGGTGTCCATTCTGCCCTGTCTCTGGGGATTAGCAAGGGGTTAGCCCATGGGGAGGAGTAGGGGCTGGTGCCCTGGCTTCCGGGGGAAGTGCTGGGGAGGGGGTCTCCTGATGAAGTCAAACCTGGTCAAGGCTTCTGTGATTCACATTTGAGGGAGATCTTCTCTGAACCCCCAAAGCCCTACAACCCAAAGGGGCATTAGGCTGGGCTTCCAGGCCTTTGGGGCCCAGCCCCTGCCCCAGGTGTCTACCTAGTGTGCGTGGTGTGTGTGTGTCCCAGAAGCCTCTTACCTGCCTGGGCTTCTGCTTTGCAAGGGGCTTGACAGGAGGGTCGGGCCTGAGCTGCTGAGAGAGAGCAGGGTCACACCCCTCGAGGCGCCCATGCCCCTCCTTGGCCCCCAGCCAGACCCTCCCAGCAGCCTCCATGTGGCTGCAGGGCTGTCGTCGAGGTCCCTGAAGTAGTAGTCTTCCACAAGGGCCATACCCAGCTCTAAACCCTACCCCCGGGGATGGGCAGTCCCCCTGGCTGCCCCCAGTCCCACCTTCCTGCCCCACTCACCTGCTCTGGTTCTGACCCGGAGCACACGGGGACCGGGAAGGGCTGGCTAGATGCAGCAGCAGAGGGCTGAAGGGAAGGGGGGACCATGAATGCACCTTTCAGAGCTGGGACCCCTGGACAGCAGGGGTGGGGGGGGGAGACCTGGGGGATGGTGCCCTCCCCCATACTCCCTAAGGCCCAGCACTCAGTTGTGAGGTCCCTGTTCCCCTACACAGGGGAGGAGAACCAGCCATGTGTGCACACTGTGGGGGGTCTGCCTCGGCCTTCAAGGCTTCCTAGGGAAGGGGAGCACATGTGTAGAACCTTGGGGGTTGGACCCTGTGACCTCTCCTGGGCTCCCTGGGGGCATGGTACTTACAAGTGGGGGTGGCTGCTTAGGGGTTCCCGTGGGAGCTGAGGCTCTGGAGGCCTGGGGGGTGGAGGCCCCCTTTGCGGGGCCCTCAGCCCCCTGCTTCTTCCCTAGCACAGCCCCATCGCTGTTGCCGCCGCCACCGCCCTGGTGTAAGCTGGTATTCAGGTACCCCATGGGGACCTTGGGGGCCGCGCTCCTGCTGCCGCTGCCGCCGCCGCTGCCACCGCCCTGGTGTAAGCTGGTATTCAGGTACCCCATGGGGACCTTGGGGGCCGCGCTCCTGCTGCCGCTGCCGCCGCCGCTGCCACCGCCCTGGTGTAAGCTGGTATTCAGGTACCCCATGGGGACCTTGGGGGCCGCGCTCCTGCTGCCGCTGCCGCCGCCGCCGCCACTGCCCTGGTGTAAACTGGTGTTGACGTGCCCCGTGGGGGCCTTGGGGGCTGCAGTCCCGCCACTGCCCTGGTGGAAGCCGGTGTTCACGTGCCCCACCGGGGCCTTGGGGGCTGCAGTCCCGCCACTGCCCTGGTGTAAGTTGGTGTTGACGTGCCCCACGGGGGCCTTGGAGGCTGCGATCCTGCCACCCTGGTGGAAGCCAGGATTCGAGTGTGCCAGGGGGGCCTTGGGGGCTGCGTTCCTGCGGAAAGACCACAGTGAGGTCAGTGGGATCCTTGCCTCTGTGGCCCAGGCTGCACCACAAGGGACAAGGGGCAGGGAGTGAAGGTCATTCCTCAGGCACTCTCGCCAGGGGGACCTGGGAGATGCAGGGGGCGGGTTAGGGCAGCCTAGCACCCCTCACGGACACATGGACTAGGGTCAGGCATGCCCTCACGGGGACACGGACTGGGACCAGGCATGTGCCGATGTAAGCCCACATGCCAGCACCTCAGGGACATGTGGGAACGGTGCTTGTTTCATGTGGTGGGCGTGGGGCTTCACCTGCCTCCCAGCAAGATGCAGGAAAGCCCACCCTTAGCCATGTGGCGGCTGTGACTTGTTGGGACTGAGTCTCTGCCGATGTGGGCAGTTAGACCATCAGGAGGACACTCCACAGCTGGGCAGTCCAACCCTCACCGCAGGCAGATGAGGTCACCTGGGAATAGCAGCCATGTGACAGCAGAGGGCACACAGCTGCCAGAGGCAGGGTTCTGCCCGTGTGCCAACAGTGCATCTCCACTCCCTGCTGCTGGCCTCTGCTCTTAGAGCACCTGGCTCCTGGTACCCAGTTCAAGCCACTTCTAGGAACGAGGGCAAGGCCTGTCCTCTGGGGCCAGAGGGGCCGTGGGCCTGGGCGTCGTGCCACAGAGGGGCAGACACAAGCAGTCCAGAGAGGGCAGCCTTCTGCTCCATGGCAGTGCCAACCATGATGCCCATGTCCACACACGCTGTTGACCACACATCTACACACACATGTCCACAGATGCAGCACACTGATACCCTACATGTCCACACACGCACACACATACATGCGCACATAGGCGTGCACACACACACACACACACAGGCACACCCACGCAGTGTAAGGGTGCTTACTTGTGCATGAGGTAGTAGACAAAGGCTGCTCCCAGCAGGAGCAAGGCCAGCAACAGTATCACCATGCCCACCACGGCCCCCGAGGACAGGCCCCCAGATGCAGACACTGCTGGGGACACAATGGACTGGCGTCAAATGAGCTGTGGCACCAGGGGGGCTCTTGGGAAGCAGCTCCTCCCCAAGGCCCTGGGCCTAGTCCCATGGCTCAGCCATCACACAGACCCCACCTGCCTGAGTCCCTCTGAGCTCGGTGCTGACCCCCAAGACAGCCTGCTGCTGAGACTGCCTCCTGGGAGCTGGCAGCAGCACCCCGGCTGGGCCCTGCCCTGGACCCCACCAATAGCAGACATGGCTATTGTTACACCAGTGCTCCCCTGGTAGCAGGCCCCAGGCCCCTGGTGGTGCGGATACGTCTAGAAGAGCCCTTGGAGGCGCTGGGGGTGACCACTGGGAAGGAAGACAGTCATGAGGTGGGCTGTACGGGCAGGGGGCGGGGACACACAGAGGGCTGCACTAGGAGCCCTGGTCTGACCCAGCACACCCACCCTGGCCTCTCCCACACATGCCCACCACATGGGGCTGAAGCAGGGTTTGTGATTCTTGCCTCTCCCGGGAGCTTGGGGCAGGAACACTGTGGGGGCCATAGAGCCTATCTCTAATAGCACCCAAGCCCTGTTCCCCGGCTGCCAGTGGTCAGGCAGAGCCCAGGCAAGTCCCCATGCCGTGGGGCCCCCAGGCCTTACCTGTGTGCACGCCAGACTTGGGCTTCATGCATTTGGGGGGCACCCAGCCTGGTTGGCAATGACACTTGTTCTTGTGGTTGCATACCTGGAGTGACAGAGGCTCGGTGGGCAGCACAAGCCCTGGGGGGCCCCAGGGTATCAGTGCCCTCAGCACTGCCCCCACCTGCAGACCTAAGCCTCTCCCCCAGACAAGCTCTTGCTCATCCTCGGGGACCGAGTACCCCACACCTCAAAGAGGGTCTCTGGCCCGCAGACTCACCCACCCTACCCCCCACCAACAGCTCTGCCTGCCCAAGGTGGAGGGCAGCTCGCCCAGGCAGGCACTGAGGGGGGATGTACACTGGGGAATGAGCAGGGTGGCGGGGTGGGCTGAAAAGGGGCCTCCCGTGAGTACATGCATGTGGCCCATGCCAGTGCCCATGTATATGGAGGTGCATGCATGGTATACGCATGTGTGGTGTAGGCAAGGGCAGTGTGTGACCATGTGTGTGCATGTGTAGTGTCTGTGCCCAGGCAGGGGCATGGCATGTCTGCATGTGCACATGCTCTGTGCATGTGTGTAGTGTGTGCGCGCGCTGTGTGTGGCTGCCTGGGCTGCGGTGGGAACATTCAAAACTGAGCAGTGGTGGGCGGCGCTGGGCTATTTTCAGGTGTGAGGGCCAAGGTGCCAAGCCTAGGACCAAGCACTTGCCCCTTGTGCCTGAGGCTGGCCTCTACCCTCTGTCCACCCCACTGTGTCCTGGGCTCCCACGTACCCCGTGGCCATTGCACTTGGCAGAGCAGTTTTCCGCCCTGTACACCTGGAGGTCCTGGCAGCTTCCTTTCCAGCAGACCTGGAGGGGTGGGTGACCTCAGGCTGGTGCCGCGCCGGGGGCCAAGGCTCAGCGCTGGTCCCAGGCCCTTGAAGCACTGAGCCGGCCCCTGGAGTGGTAGGCCCTGCACTCACCTTGCCCTGACCACACTTGGTGCCCACAGGCACCGTCTCGTAGGCCTTGTGGTCCTCCATGAGGAGTGCCTGGCAGGGGCCAGAAGAGGGACTCAGGATGCAGGAGGTCCGCACCGTGGGCTTCTGGCCACCTCTACAGAACAGGACTCCACAGCGTTTGGCCCTGTGTACACAGGGGTGTGGGCCCTGCTCAGCGGGACAGGGCCATAGCAGGAGGGGCAGGGCCCTTGGTTATCCATCCTCCTACCCCCGCCAAGTGTCTCCCTGCCCACCCATGTGGGGGCTGGCGGGACACACACACACACACACACACACACACACACACACTGCACATGAGTCATGGGTGGACACTCACTGGCCGGGAAGGGCCTGGCAGTTGATTGAGACTTCGAAGGTGAAGCAGACATCCGCAGCTTCCTGGGCACCTGCAGGGGCAGGGCAGGTGAGTGGAGCAGGGCCAGGTGCACCAGTGGGGGCTGTGGCCACCCCCTTGCCTCACCTGTTCCCCACAGTTGGCTGCAAGCCGAGCGGAGCGTCGGGCAGAGCCCATTGTAGCAGTAGCCTCCGGGGCAGGGGCTGCCGTTCTCCTGGAAGTCGTCCTCAGGGCACTCGGGTCGCTGCCCGTCACAGTGCTCTGCCAGGTCACAGGTGTCCTTGGCAGAGCGGCACAACACCCCGGCTGGTTTCACCTGCCGGGCCCAAGTAGAGCCTGAGCCCAGCAGCTCACCGTGTTGCCACTGCCAGTCCCTGAGGCTGGGCCTCGGCTGTGGGTGGGGCCCGAGGTGCAGAGCCCCAGCTCACCTTGCACTGGTCACAGCAGGCGCCGCGGGCACACTTGGCCCCCTTAGCGATCAGGCAGGTTGTGGCGTTACAACAGCGGTTCTGGCACTCCTGCGAGGGGAAGGTAGGGGGATCATCCACAGAAGCCCCTCAGGGCCTGTCCAGGGCCTGCAGGCTAAGGTGTCTGGGGCCTACACCCGAGGGTGTCTGACACCTTCTTCTAAGGCCAGCCTGCCTCTGCTCAGCCCCTGCCCCAAGGGCTGGTCCCCATGATCCCCTTCCCCAGGGCCATTTGTCCTATGCTCAGTCCCACCGGTGACCCCTCTCCTAAGATGCTTTCCTCAAGACCCCCTCCCCCAGGAGACCTCCCCAGGGGTCCCTGGCCCCCCTCTGCTCCACACAGCAGCAGGTGGGGTCTGCAGGCCAACCTGGGGCGAGCCGCAGTCACACTGCTCCCCACGCTCCAGAAGCTTGTTTCCGCAAACAGGGTCGCTGACCAGACGGCTGGTGTCCAGTTCGCCTAGCACACAGGCCGTTTGGGGCGTCTCCACAAAGGACTGCAGGGCCATGCGGCTGCACTCGCTGAACAGTGTGGGGAACTTCTGGCTGAATGGGGGTGGGGTGGGAGGAGTCGGCGTCAGGTAGGGACTGGCCAGCATGCCTCCCAGTCTGCGTGCCAGTAGGACTCACCCGAGGCTGGCTGCCATCACACAGCCGCCGTCCACCCGCGGCACTGGGCAGTAGCAGTTATCGACGTTGTCATCATGGTCCATGGCCAGGTTGTGTCCCATCTCGTGGGCGATGGTGGACGCCACCCCAAGGGGGCTTTTGTTATGGTCCTGGGGGGCACTGAGCTCACTCGCCGCCTGGGGGCCTACCCAGCCCCTACTCCTATGACCCTCGGCTCAGACAGAACTCCAGTCCTCAGCCCCCCCTGCTCCTACAATGCCTTTCACCAGACAGGGACGCAGCCCTGCAAGAGAGCCTGTCCCCTGGGCTGGTTTCAAACCTGGCCATCCCACTCCCGCCCAGGCCGGGGTCTCCCTGCTGACTTGGTTCACGCCGGCTGACAGCGTCCGGGTACACATGGAAGCTACATTGGCCAGGCCCAGTGTGATGCCATCGAAGTCGATTCCCCTGGAACAATCCACGTCCAAATGAGTGGGGCTCCCCTCAGCCACCGACACCGCTTTCTGCTGCATCCCAGCTCCCCAAACCAATTGCACGCCAAGCCCCTCCCCAGTCCTGCACTGTCTCCCTCGTCCCTGTCATGCTTCTTCCCAGCCCAGCCCGTCCCTGCAGTCTGGGGTCCAGCCTTCACGGCCCCTCACGTGATGAGCTGTGCATTGTCGTGGGTGTGCAGTGACACCAGGTGATTGGTCCGCCACGCCTGGAAGTTATCGAGCGTGACCTGGGGATTGGAGCTGACCAAGATCTTGTCACTGCTCCACATCTGCAGGCCCACCAGGCCCACACGGAAGTTGAGTGGCTGGTACAGCTGTGGGAGGGGAAGGCTGCTGTCAGTTGGACTGCTGAGTCCTGGGGGAGTCTGCAGGTGTGCCAACCAGCAGGGCCAGAGCCCACAGTCTCACGCCTACCCCCATTTGCTCCCAGGGGCTTCTCCCACCCCCTAAACACTGGTTTCCCCAGGATGGCCCCTGGGGTGTGTGGCTTGAACATAGCGGGCAGGCCCACCTTGTCCACGTGGTTCACCACCTCCATCACCCGCCGACGCAGGACCTGCTGGTCCGGGTACAGCTGGGACTGGAGCAGAGAGACCCCTCAGACCAGAGAAGCCACTGCCTGGGCCACTGCCCCAGCCCTATCCCCTGGCCCCTACCCTTACCTCCAGGCTGTCGGTGACCACGTACATCTCCACATGGCGGGGCTTTGAGGACGGTGGCCGATTCTGCAAGGGACCAAGAGCAGTGAGCCTCACAGTCACTGTGCCCACCTCAGCTTGCTCCCACCTTCTGAAGCTGCCCCATCCCAGGCCAGGGCACCAGGGCTTGGGGTGGGGGGGGGAGCGCCCACCCGGGGTCGGTAGGCTGCGGCGATCCTCGGGCCCAGGATGCGCTCCAGCTTGGCGTTGCTGACACCGCAGGTGCCCAGCTTATCCTTCAGGTGCTGCCACTGGTAGAGAGCGTGCTGGCCCTCCTCTACCCCGTCCAGGGGCTCAATCAGGTGCACTGCCCTGCTGGCTCGGAAAAAGCCCCTGGGGGTGGGGGCACCGATGCAGATTCGGTGAACCTCCCTACTGGGATGGGGGAGTGGAGGGGGGGGTCCCTGGACCAGTGACTCCAGGTATCTGCCCCTCGCCTCTGCCTCATTCTCTCTCTGCAGATGTGGAGGGCAAGGGCAGGCACTCACCTGAGGCCCTCACAGGTGCTGATGCTGGCGACAGAGCTCTGGTGGCCTTCCACATGTCCCTGGTAGAGGCAATGGTCCTGCCATGCGCAGGGCGGAGAGTGGCTGTGTCTTGGCCAGTCCCTGCTCCTCCCCCTCCCCTGCCCCACCTCAGGGCGATGCCCAGGCCATACCTGCCTTCCTAGGTGTTCCACCACCTCGGAACCATTGGCAGCGGTGTATGTCTCTGTGTACCTGGCACTCAGCAGTTCTCTGGAAGAGCCATTGGGAGGTCCTGGACTGCCTGCTGCCCTTGGCCAAGGCCCTCCGTGATGGGAGGCTGGGGGCAGGGTCCAGGAGGCTGTGGGCTAGGGCTCTCCAGGTGGGTGCAGCCAGCATGCTCACCTGTTTTTCCGTAGGTGCAGGGTGAAGTTGTGTCCTCCACCTCCAAGGAGGTAGCTCACGCTCTCAGGGTAGGGACTCTGGGAACAGAGACCTGGTCAACTGCCTGCCTGGAGGCCTCTGACCTCTGAGGGGCTGCCCCATGGGGAGCAATACAGCCTGCAGCCAGGGGTCATGTGGGGCTGAACCTCCTTGGACAGAGAAGGTAGAGCTCCAATCAGCAGGCCTCAGTTTACCTATTTATCCACTGCACAGCCAGTCAGTATCTGTCACCCCCTTCCCAGAAGCACCCGTCTTTCCCAGGGCCCACAGTTAGGATGGACTTGCCCACCATCCCATGGGTGCCCTGCACACACAGTCCACGTCCATACATGTACACACACTTAAATGATCCATGTCCATACACCTACACACATCACACAGTCCACATACATACATGTGTATACACACACTCACTCCAGATTTAGGAACCATCCCCAGAGCACCCCACCAGGCATTCTTGGTTCCCCAAACGAGCAGAGACACACTACCGTTTGCTCTTGGTTCCCCAGCTCACCCGGGGATCCCCGCCCAGCCCCACCTCCCCAAGGAAGGTGCGTCAAGGCTGACTCACAGCGGCCGGGTGAGCTGTCCACAGCTGTTAGAAGAATTTGGTAGACCAGCAGTGGCAAATGAAACATGGGTGTGGCATCTGAGCCTACCTGTCCCTGCCTGCGGGCTGACCTTGCCACCAGCCACCAAGAGAGCTTCTCCACAGGCGCCCACAGCCTCAGGGCAGATACTCAGGCCCCATAGGTGGCCAAGCTCTGCCCTCAGGAGGAAGGAAGGGGAGGCCACACCCAACAGCAAAGATAGGCCCTCCAGGCCGGCTGGCAAGGCTAAGGTCACCCAGAGCTCCTCTACCCACAGGGACACCAGGCCTGGAGACCAAGGAGGTCCTGGCTGTATGGCGCCCACCCAAGACTTACCCAGTGGGAGGGCAGGGCCCGGCGGGCTCGGGGGGTTGCCAGGCGCTGGGACCACACTACCTGAAACTGCTCCACATGAGGCAGGGAGGGACCCGAGACCATCACTGTGGAGGTGGGGGTGGGTGGGAATAGGTGAGACATGGGCTCTCCTGTCCTTGGACACTGCCCACCTCACCCCATGCCCCACCACCATGGATGGGTAGCTCAGAGGCCAGCAGCTCAGGTGTCGCCAACCTTCCCCCTACTGTGTGCATCCCCAATGACTCTGACCACAGGCCAGGGGGAGGAGGTATTTAGGTTTGCCAACATCATCCACCTCAGTCTGTCCTGTAGCTGGAACCCAAGTCCAGCTACAGATCGGAGATCTTGGTAAGACATCGCCCACTGAGAGGAAGGCAGGGTACAGGGAGGGAGGGTTTCAGAGACACTGCTGGGGGGGTAACCCTAAAGGTTAGATAAAGGTCACTAGGAAGGGCCCCCTTTCGCGCCCTCATCGAACCACCCCCTTGCCTCCACCAGTCTGGGGTTGGGGCATCACAAAGCCCCACCTGGAGGGGCCCAAAGGGAGTGTAAGCGGTGGCTGGTCCTCCCTGCCTGGAGACCAAGACCCCCAAGTGTCCCCTGGTTCCAAGGCACGATTCGTCTGTTTCCACTACTCTGCGGGCCCCTTGGGTCCCGG